CTCTCTACAGAAGCTTTTTCCTTGGGTTATATGGCAAATTGTCTGTTAACTGGCACAAAGAAATAACCAGAGGGAAAATAATATGGTCACCTTTCTTGTCACCCCCTCTCCAGCAAGGTGTGAATTTGAATGTAAGGAATACTCACAAAGTAACCAGGACAGGCTAACAGATGACAGACTGAAGGGCCTCTAATACTGTATTCTTAATTTTATTATGATCTAACATAATTCAATTTTCTTTATAGTGTTGTGTTTTGTGTTTGGTTTATTTTACTTAACATTGATTTCTCACTTTCTATTAAAGCAGCTTTCATGTTTTTTTAAAATCTAATCTGCTCTTAATGGTTCTAACACTATATATACACTGCAGGAATACTGTCTTTAAAAAAAACAAATTAAATAAGGAATAAAAAAGCAGCTGACTGAGCTTGATGTTTCACACATTTTAGGGCAGGGACCCACCTATCAATGTAGACATGGGATTTTTTTTTAAAAAAAACTTACCTTCTATATAGTTTAGGACAGATGCAAAAGATCCTAGACTTTTCTGTGGTCATTTGTCTGAAAAACAATTAATTTTTATGCATTTGGGGTTTTTTTTTTATCCACCTAAGAAAAATAGATACAGTCCATAGGGAAAGCCAGTGTTGCATGAGTGGACCTTCTTCATGTGTAACAAACTGTGTTACACTTTGTCCTTCTGGCAACCCTGCCTTAATTATGAACATGATTTACCTGACAGCAATGAGTGTGTTTGTTCATTGGTTGGTTTTGTTGGATTAAAATTTGCTTTTATTTGATCAGGGTGGTGGGAGGTGTATCTGGGTTTAGTAGTATAGCTGAGATAGTTATTTATATTATTGTCAATTGGCCAGTGTAGTACTTTGCACTAAATCAGTCAATATACAAATTACTGAAATAAATAAATAAATAAAATGTAGTTCTCATTTTCTCTGAGACATGCACATACACAGCAGGTCCCTGTCTCCCTTCTCCCCATAAGCACCTGTTGCTTTTGAAACCAGAAAAGTGTATGGCAGAGAAGCATCCTTAAAGATGCAATTTTTGTCCAGCTAGTACTCTACACACCACTGTATTATAGTAAATACAAATGCATGCACTATCCTGTCAAAAGGAAAGAAAAAAAAGATTTTGTGATGATAAATCCCTGCGTCCCTGACAAATCCAGCCTGGTAGAATGAAGGACATAAGCCTTCCTTAATACAGTTTCACAGCAAAGATTTTATTAAAATTAGAAGAGAGATAGAGCATGAGTGAAATCGTCTGAAAGCTCCATCTATCTCCTGAATGCCTTCCGAGATAGATTGTTTGGCTCTGAAGAAATACTAAACATGCATCCAATCTCCTGCTGTTCTCTATAGCTTTTACAATCTCCCTTTTTAATAATCTAAACGGCAGGGCAGTTGGGTTGTTTGGCACTCTGTTTTTAAATTCCCTCCGCAGAATTATGTAGGAAAGGAATGAAATAAATTGTCATTAGAAGCGACTAACTTTCCTTTGGAAAAACAGGTGTGTACTGAAGGAGCAGGGGAGGGGTGGAGAACTGCACAAGACAAAAGTATCCAGATTTTCTTGTTTCTTTTCTTTTTCTTTTTTAATAAGAAAAATACATTATTTTTTAAAAAGACAAGGATTGTCAAGATGGCTTTTTAAAATGTGACCTTGGTACTGTTTTTATACTGAATGTTTCTCAAAACTGAAAGGCATGATAAAACACTAACATATTACCATGAAGTGATGATTTGGGAATGGAGGCCATACTATCATCTTTCTTAAATGTTATATCATTAGAATGGCAAGCCTACAAAATGAGAGGTACCCTATTATATTTAAATGCCAGCAACTTAACATAGATAATGAACTTCTGATGTTCTTTTATAGCACTGCATCCGATGCAGCTGTTCTTCCATAACTAAAGGAAACACCAACAATAATACATTTTTTTCCACTGAAGCAACTACTGCCTGTTCGGCCTACAATAAATAACGGAGATAGGTGTGTTAATCTCAGAGCCCTTTATATACAGGGCAAAATAATGCTGTAAATCTTCCACAAAAGCTTCCTGGCAAATGTAATAACCTAGATGATGAAAAAAATGTTTCAATGTTTACCTTCTAAGCTATACTCAAAGTACAGTGGCTAAAATGAGCTATGTCAGATGTTTTACTTCTGGGATCTGGGCTGGGGCTATGGCCAAATTCTCAGGTGACCAACGTAGATGGAGTAAATTCCTCTGATGTGAGAGGACATCTATAATGGGAAATCATAAGAGAAATACATAATAGATGGTCTAAACACAAAGAGGGCAAAACCTACCCAGATATTTTGGTCCATGAGGAGAACAGAATGACTCCACACATCCCTATTTTCATACAGAAAAGCTAACCAGACTGTCAGTAGAATCTCAACAGTGATGACAGATTAGGGTCATCAGCAGCAACAAATTAGATTTGGGAGCACTAGTATAGGATAAATGTTTGTTATACACACTTCTGTTCCCAATCAGTAAAAATTGTATCTACCCTACATACTTATACAGGTTTGATACTGCTTTAATTGTCACAGATTTATTCTATGGGATCCTGAGATTTGTAACCTTGTAAATGCTTAGAATTGTTTGTTTTCGTTCAAGGGAGGATGTGAGAACTCTCCAGCAGACAACGTAAGGTCTCTCACCAGACTTCAAATCTCAGGATTCCATAGGATAGAACCACGTCAGTTAAAGTGGTATCGGACGGCCAGAAGTCTGCATTATAGATACAACCAAATATTTTGTCTCATGAAGTCCATGATACTGTTGAATCAGGTGCCACTGTATATCTCCACATTGGCCTTTACATACTGAGTTCCACCCAAAAATTGTGAAATACCTATTAACTAGCATTGTATCTGTCCCTGAGTATTATAGCGTGTATTACCGATTTTGGAGAAGAGGGCAACTTCTGTTCTGTTTGGATAAAGTTAGAGGCAGGCTGCCTTTAAAGAAATAATGGAGAGCTACTGCTTTCTAATCAACATGAAAGTAACACAAAAAGGAAAGAACCCTCTCGGGTCCTTAAGATCACTAGAGGAGGCCTTCTCTTGGTCTCATTGCCACGCACATGCACATTTGATAGCGACACTAGAGAGGGCCTTCTTTGTAACTGCTCTCAGGTTGTGGAATGATCTCCCTAGACGGGTTAGGTTGGCCCCCTTCCTTTTATCTTTCCACAGACAGTTGAAGTCCCACCTCTTCAGGCAGGCTTTTAATAACTGTAAACTGAGCTGCTGATGCTGGTTTTCAGCTGATCAAGTTTGTTTTTAAAGTTTTTAATCATTCCATGTATTTTAATTACAATTAGAGTTTAATTGGTTTTAATGTATAATTTATTATGTTTTTAATGTCATCTTTTTTTTAACACTCTAAGCTGCAGTTCCCTCATCAGGAGAAAAAATGGGCTGAAATTAGACAAACAAATAAGAATGGTTATTTAATTGCTAAGAAAAGAAGGCACAATGCTGAACTGAAGTTATTTTACTGATGTAGTTATTGAGTGTGATGGATGGGTGATGAGGGATGTTTTGTTTTATTTCATTTGTATTCTGCCTTGCTTCTGGAACTGTAACCCAAGCTGCCTTACAATTGCTATTAAAAACAATATAAAACCAAATAACAAGAAAGTTCTAAACATTAAAATATAATTAATGTTGTTATGTTATTAAATACATAATTAATATTTTAATCAAGATATTTAAAGTGTTTCAATTGTAATTTAAAGTTTAATTAACACTTTAAAATCTCTTGATTTTAAAAGAGATTAAAGTGTTTTAATTAAAGTGTTTTAATTAAATTAAAACTCTTGATTAAAATACTAATCTAGAAGTGAAAACTACTTCACTATCTAAGATGTTATAGTGAGATCAAGATACAGGAAACTAAATATCAGGGGAATATCAGGAAAAACTTCCTAACTGTTAGAGTAGTATGACAGTGGATCTAATTATCTCTGGAGATGGTGAGCATTCAAGACAAAGCTAGACAGCCAACTGTCATATATACCTTAATTTTGATGTCTGCATTGAACAAGGAAATAGTAGCCTTATAGGCCCCTTCCACTTTACTCAGTGGCCTTATAGGCCCCTTCCACTTTTGTTATTCTGTGATGGTTCTATGATATTATGGTTCTGAGGATATTAATTGGCAAAGGCCTGCCTAAATAAAAAAAGTCTTTGCTTCCTGGTGGAAGGACAGCAGGGAGGCAGGAACAGATGCTTCTCCTCTTGTTTCAGAATATAGATACAGTATGGATGTAGCCTCTCAGAAGGTAAATAGCATTTAAAGTTTGCCATGGATGTATTTGAAGGAGGCACAGAAGCAGCAGCAATATGTTGGAATTTTAAAGTGTGTGTACTGTTAAATCATATTAATACTATATGATCATGATTTCAAAAGTTATTGAGTTATTATTCCAAGCCAGATGCATGGATAAAACATTTAGCAGTACCTTTTTGCTAATGATCTTGGAATAGTCTTCAGATCACTATGCCTTTTACAAAACTCTGCAGTCCATCTTATATTACTGCATCTTTAAAGACTGGATAAAATTATAATTGATTTGTGGTTCCTGTTAAACCGTCCTCTTGTAACGAGTTTACAATTGATTGCAAGACTCCTTGAGATACGTTTTAAAAATACAGCATTGAAAATGCATTTAATCTGGCATTTGAAACACGTGTTTGGTTTCAGAAAACTGAAAAGCAAAGCTGCATTTGCTGTGAAGCCTGTATAATAAACTCAGCATGTGACATCGTAAATAACCTGGTAATCAGTATTTCGCTTGTCATCTCGAGGAACCATAAACTACTTAACTGTATAATTTTACTTACATGGCTGCAGCAACTTATTAATGTATGTACAGTAACTTGTAAAACATCTAGTTATTATTCTGTCCATATTAGCTCTTTCATGCTAATTATTTATTTTTTCCCATTTTCTCTAGGATATAGACCTTCAGCTAACTGGAATTGATTTACAAATGGGGAATCTTCAGTAAATGGATGCTCTCTGCATTTGGTTACTTTGGAAAACAGAATTGTTGATTGAATGACGTCTGAAAAAGAAGGCTGAGTGAAGATGCTGTCTCTACAAGAGTGAAAGCAATGGAACATGGTTGTTGTGTGAAGAGGGTTTTGCAGATTTCCTGACAGGCTCACCCTCTGGGAGTCTAATTCATACATTTCATTTCCCTGGCCCCTTGGGAAGAGCCTTGTTTACCCGTTTTCTTTCCCATCCAGTGGATACAAATAAGATTGTTTTCACCACAGCCGTACAACTAATGTGGGACCATCATGGCCTTTCCAAAATCCATGTGGCTGAATTGCATGTGGAGAGCGATACTAGTCCGCCTTTTGCACGTGGGATTGGATGCCACGTTCACATTTTGCATACTTGGCTTCTTGCTTCATGCTGCTGCAGTATCGTCGCAAAAACTGGACGATACTGACCCAGTGGTGACCACCAGCTTTGGAAAGATCAGAGGGATGAAGAAGGAATTGAACAATGAAATTTTGGGGCCTGTTATTCAGTTTCTTGGAGTTCCTTATGCTGCTCCTCCAGTTGGGGAGCGTAGATTTCAACCCCCTGAACCACCATCTCCGTGGCCAGATATTAAAAATGCTACTCAGTTTGCACCGGTGTGTCCCCAGAACATTATAGAGGGCAGGTTACCTGAAGTCATGCTTCCTGTCTGGTTTACTAATAACTTGGATATAGTTTCTACCTACGTTCAAGATCAGAATGAAGACTGCCTCTATTTGAATATATATGTCCCAACTGAAGATGGTGAGTTACTTACAGGAGAAGCAGGGAGATTTTTTTTGTTTCTACTTTCCTATTGAAATTTTTTACGCCTATTAAATCTTGTGTACTGGTAGCCAGCACGGCTTTCTTGTCTGCATGCCAGCCTCTTTTCTTTTATAGTACTTGTATGCATGTGGCTTATTATTATTATTATCATTATTATGTACGCATTGGTTTTGAGCCTTTGCTATCCCTTCTGCTCTTTTCTTGTCTATACTCATTTACTTTGTCCTTCAGCACGTCTATTCTTAGGCCAAAGTTGGTACCTAATTCTCATTCCCACCCATTGACTTATGGGAAAGATGCATCAACATCTTGATTCATTGCATGGGTAGGCAAAAGGAGTGGCGGCTCTTCTCCACCTAACCAATAAAATTAATGAATAAGCCAGCAGGCTATCATGAAGTTAGCTAGTGGTGATTGCATGCTCCTACTGTCTCTCATGGAGCTCCATGTTATTTTCTAGTCTTCTATTCATTTTTCAGTCAAAAGAATATCCAAGGAATGTGCCAGAAAACCCGGCAAGAAAATTTGTAGAAAAGGAGGTATGTATAAAGTGGTCACAAAATTAAACCGGGGTTGGAAAAAAAAAAAAAAAGGTACCACAAATTACATTCAAACCATACCAAGGAAAACTACGTGAACAGATCTTAAAACAACAGGAGGCTGCTGTCATTGTTGGGTTATCCTGAAAAAGAAATAGCAGCATGTGATTAATGAGCTTGGAAAATGGGGAGAAAATGGGGAAAGCAGAAGGAAAATATAGGGGAAGGCTGAAAAACATGAGAATGAAACAATAACTAGTTCCAGTCCTGGAGCATAAAGACTCAATCTCCAATGTTTTCTTTTACTGGCAGAGTTTAGAGTTGGTTTGTACTTTGGTCTGACAGAGCAGTGAAGCAGTGTTGTTGTTTCATATGCTGCCCCAGCTATGGAATATAGTGTTCAAGTTGAGGCACTTAAAGGTCTTGGGTATATGTGGTCTTAGCAGAACCGTTTTTAGTGTAGTTCCATGAGAGTTCTCATGTTTGGTCACTGATTGTTCACATGACACTAACTTTTTTTCCTCATCAGCTGGCATAAAAATTGAATGCTGTTTCCAGGTGAAAAGAATACTAGACATTTTCTTTGGACAGCAAAGAAATAAAAAATGCTGGGATTATATGATAGTATACTATGAGTAATGCAACCTTGGTCTTTTATGCAAGATTTCATAGTACAGTAACTGTAAATTATACAAACTTGCAGAAGCTCAAGAAAGAGTATCTGGCAGATTCAAAATTCAGGGAGCTATTTCACATTTTCAAAAGGATTATTCCAGAACTGAAGTGAAAATTTAAAATTTGAGTCCCTTCCATCATCTTGAGTACTGAGGTTAGGGATGCAAAATTTTAGATCCAGAATTCATCTGTAAAACGTATGGTGGTGTTTGCGGGCAGGGGTGCAATGAGAGAGGACCAGCCAATGAAATCTAATTAAAAGTTTCAGTCCTGAAATGCAGGTGGATTAATTCTTCATGAGTCGAAGTAGAAGGGGAAATTAATAATGTCGTCCTTCTCTTGTAAGTTCTCTGATTAGGTAGACACTTCTGATGGAAATACAGTAGAACCCCTGTATCCATATGGAATCCATCCCAATAGTAGTAAATCCTATATACAACACACACAAGGATGTGGGACAAAGGCCACAAAAGTCAGGACAAAGACTACAAAGTCTCCCCCCTTGTATGTTGTTTATAAGGCTGCAGAAAACCATGGATAACTGAAACCACCAATATTGATCCTACAGATACAGGGGTTCTGTATAGTATTGGTGCTGTAATATATTTTTTAGAAAGTTGATATCCATAATATAATTTTAAAAGTGAGATTGGCTTCCTTATTATACTTCTGTCAATTAATTTGAAAAGTTGTTAAACAGGATTGTTGCATAGCTGTGGCATTATAAGGTGCTATTTATACTGACATGTTTCATCTTTCTGCTACGATAGTTGAATTTGCAACATTTTAAAAGTTGTTTGCAGATTGCTAAACAAATAACATAGAGTATTAATGCTTTATTTTAAAATCAGTGAAATTGTCTTGTGCTTGGATGCTACTGCAATGTTGGATATGCCTCTAAATTACATACATCTATAGAAATTTTCTATGTGCGTGAGAGAGAAAGCCCATCAGAAAAAGGGACTAACGTACACATTCGGAAAAAGTATGTGGACTTTGACATGGGATTTATCTGTATGCCATCTTTATTTAACATCCTTATGAACATGAAATGCCTTCTGTACAATTGGCATTGTAAGCCTATGTTGGTTTGCTCGTGTGCAAGCTCCATTATGTTCAGTCAGGTTCATGCCTGTCCACGGGAATATAATACTCAGCATTTGCAAGTGAAACAATGGGTATCTGGAGTTTTTGATGCTATAAAATAATATATGGACATTTATCCTATTTTAGCAATAATTACAGGTGCACCTAAAGATGGAGGTGGAATTGGAAACCTCACCAAAGTATATCTTGGTTTTACAAACCTGGAGAAATAAGGAATGGAAATGGAAGATTTGACAAAGACAAAAACTGAACAAAAACAAAAGCACTGTGCCACCTTTAAGCCTAGCTCATTTATTTCGGTATGAGCTTTTGTGGATTACACAGTTCACTACTTCTGACACTAACTGATGGAAGCTCACACTGAAATATATCTGTTAGCTTAGCCTTAAAAGTGTCACAATACCTCGGTGTTGTTTTTTTTAATACATCCTGAAACAAACTCATATGGCCCTTTCTCTGGCAGATGGGGAACATCATCACTATGGTGAAAATGAAGGATTTATTACCTGGGCTTGGAAATAGCAGCTCACATCCAAAGAAACTTGTCATGCGTTCATGTAGCCAAGAAAGCTTTTCAACTGATGGCTGTTGACAGCACTGTATTTTGACCATGGCAGAGGCCGTTGATGGCTATGTGCCTCATTCATGGCAATTAAGGGAAGTTTTTTTTTCAGTATTTTGTGATCAAGAATTGGAATTTTCCATGAGAAATGGAAAAGCTTAGTGGTTCTGCTTATGCCCTTCATCGCTATTTGGATCCTGGACCCTGCATGGGCCTTTGTGTCATAATGTTTCTACATTACAAAAGACACTCATGTTTATAGTAGTAGAGCTTCGAAAAATGACCATGTCTATAAAACACCTCACAATAACTGGTAATTCTGTTAAGTATTGCAATAATGTCAGGCTCTTCAATCATATATCATCATTGCAATAGGACATTTGTATCCATGGAGGACTGGTTCCAAGCCCCCCCCCCTGGTGGATGCTTAAAAATGTGGATTATAGGAAATATCTCCCTCCCAAGACCAGGTGTCCTCCCTGCTCTCTATCTATAAGGTATCTAGATACTATCCAGAAGGTATAGGGACAAAGCCCCCCTGCCCTCCCTCCGATCCATGCAAACCTGATGGTTACCTAAAGGGAGTTCAGGGCACAGAGGCCACTGCTACCGCTGTAGGAAAGCAGATTACCTGCATGCTGAGTTGTTTGCTAGCATTCTCTCAGGCTTCAATGCAGAGCAAGCTGGCTGGAGATGCCCCTTCCCGCTTGCCGTCTAGATTGCCCAGCACTGACACTTTTTAAAAAACCTCTTGGAAAACCTGCAGGCAGCAGGAGCATCCACTGCTGCCTTCAGGAAGAAAGTTTGCAAGAGGAGAGACCTCAAGCAGCAAGAGATCATGCCATGAATTCTTCATAGCGCAGTGTGTCCAGCTCCCTCTAATGGCCAGTTCTGCTAAAACATGAGATCCCCCCCTGCATTTAAAAAAATAATACTTTCAATACAGTATTTATTTTAATTTTTGCAGATCATGGGTAAGTGAATCAACGGATACTGATCCCATGGATGAGGGGGGCTGATAGTACTTAGAGTCAGAGTTGGTGTCTGAGGGGCCATAGAAACAATTTGCTATCTCAGGACTGTATTTATTTCATTACAAAAAAGATAAGGGACAGTGTGGTCTCACAGATTACGAAGAATGTAATAGTAGATGACATCTTTTATACCTCCCACACCTAAAGTAAACCTTATTTCAAGCAAGCAATGTGAGTGTGTGTGTGGATGATCACAGGGTGTGCGTGGAGGATCACAGCCTTTTGGTCTGAAGAGCCAGGGTGTAAAAATTCCAAAACTTGATGCCCCAGGATCACAAGAAGAACTCATCATCTCTTCCAGATAGGTAACATCAATTTCTAGACAATTTTTCTGCACTGTCCATGAAGGGGGTGTATTTAGAGCCTAAGGAAGTGGATCTCATCCATGGAAGCTTGCTGTATCCGATCAAAATCAGAATCTGAATGTTCCATCGTTGATTCTGCTCTTTAAGATACAGGTTCTCATGGAATTGAGGAATAGAAAGCTTTTTCCCTTTTAAATTTTTTAAAATTTTATTTATTGGCTTCTCCCTTGGTATTGGACCAGTTTAGATGACTGAACCTTAATAAATGATGGTTTATGAAGTTTGAGTTGCGTTTTTGGACAACTCCTTCTCCCATTATAGACTTCCTTTAGTTCAAAGCTGTCGGCTTGTATTAAACCAAATTTCCCCATTACTTTCTGGCTTATACTCTTCATACTCCTGGTTTGTTGGCTAAACTCATGTAAGGGTTTTATGAATGTGTGAGAGGAATCAAACACATGTGATTGCCATGCACACACTTTTCAGTTGCCATGGCTAATTGACAAGGTGTTTGGTGTCTGTTGGACTTGCGCTAAATGCATGATCAAGAATGTGGCTGGCTGCATGGCTAGCATGTTCCTGATATCTTGTGAGTTAATGATGGCGATTTACATTATTCCTTTTGTGTGTGTATAAGATCCCGACTGGACTGTAACTGTCAGCTCTCATCTAGATGGATTAAAAAACATGCACTGAGTTAGTTCTGGGGGGTATTTTCTGACCCCATGGTAATTTCAATCCATACAGTATTAGCAGTATACAGAGGGCTAGCAAAGGGGTTGCATTAATGTATTTCCTAAACCTAATGAGATTTCCAGTAATCTCATCTGCACAAATGGAGGATGTGTAACCTCTGCTACCAGGCATTATGGTTGGCCAAAATATGGCATATAACATGTGTGTGTGAGGGAGGGAGAGATGAAATAATTACCCTCAGTGGGTAGCTGTTTTGGAGACTTTGTTTTGTTTCTTTGGTCTGTAAGCAAAACAATCAGTAGATGGCAAGCAACCAAAAATCGGGGAATTTTTTTTTGTAACTTTTCAGATGACAGTCTTGTAAAATGTCAGTCTTGTTTGTCCAGATCTGTATGAATTCTGGAACAAAATGCAACACTGGGGGACTAAAATGTCCCTTCAGAGTATATGAGGTTTTTGTTGTTACTGTTTAGTTATAAAGTCGTGTCCGACTCTTCATGACCCTATGGACAAGAGCACAACAGTCCCTCCTCTCTTCCACTGCCTCCCGGAAATGGTTCATATTCATGTTGGTGGCTTCGATGACATTGTCCAACCATCTTGTCCTCTATCATCCCCTTC